CAAGGTTTGCCGTACCGGACTGTACCGCCCGGTACGGGCGGTACGTACCGGTCCGACAGGCTAGCGGTACGCGGACCGCCCTGTACCGGTCCGCCCGTACCGAGCACTGTCTGCTACAGTGCTCGGTACACCTGGGTGTACCGAGCGGTATACCGTACCGTACCGGTACCGAGCCCGAGTCGAAACGCCGGTACGGTACGGTACGGTACGGCGAACCTTGCTTTAAAGTGTTAACCGCTACCATATGTATATAATAGTATTAGAAAGAGAGAACCAAAATCTGGATGCAAGCAACAGGTTCTTGCTAAAACAATAAAGCCAAAGATAAAAAAACAACTGGAATTTAACATGGTAAGACCCTCAATTACTTGAGGGAAACATCCACGGGCAAGCTAGAAGGAATTCACTATAAACAAATACAAGTACAATCTTCTCCTTAATACAAGGAGAAACACAACACTTTCTCTCCTCTCTTATGATAGGAGAAATCAGGGTCGCGCAACAGGATGTTGAAACTTCCCACATCACATGGGTCACATGGGAGGTTGCAACCTCTCTCATCCCACAAGTGATTTCTACAACCACCCAATCGCACGGGAGGTGGTTGCAACCGCCTGGGTGGTATCGAGACAAGCTCAGGAAATCCAAGTGTTGTGAAATTACTGTTCATGACAATAAGTAGGAATGTAGTTCAAGCAACATCCCGCTTGATCTGGGAGAGGGGACGGTTCCAAGACTCACTACAGCAAGTTTGTAACAACTGCTTCAAAACCATTTTAATATCATCAATTTTTTTTTCCAAAAAAATGCTAAAATCATAAATGGTTAAACCCTAACCTTAGGTTCTGCCATTGTATGGCCCTGACACTACTCTAGTTAAGATTATTCGTTAAAGAATAAGACATTTTGATATTAAGCATGTTAGTGAACATGGAGATTGTAACTTCTGTTATGATAAATTACTTGATTTTCTAATGAAGTAATTGATGATCTGTATTAGTTTGTCCACTTTTTGCACCTTTTGTTATGATAATTACTTGATTCTCTAATGAAGTAATTGATGATCTGTACTAGTGGTCCACTTTGGATTTGTTCCGCCAAGCATATGACCAACTATCCACCATGAGAACTCTACCACTAAGTATTATTGCAAGATGTGTCAACTATATAATCAATTTCCAAAAAGGATTTATCAAACTTGACTTCTTAATGAATATTATCCTTTTGGCACCATAGTAAATATCGGGAGTAGCTATTGACAATTATTTACCAACTGCAGGTTTGAGTTAACAATCACAGAACACCTTAGATCTAACTAAAATTACCTTCTACAACAAACATGAGGTATTAGCCATGAATTGGGAAAGAGCAAAGCAAATATTAATGCGGGTAAATAATTGGATCAGAGCAGAATCCAACTAGGGTTCAATCGGATACTCAGAACGGCATCTTCCGCTATACGAAAAAGGGGAGTAGTTTAGGGTTCGCTTACGCGCTTCTTCAGCGTCGTCGGTCTTGGCGACCATTACAGGCGGCAGCGGGATATCTGAAAACGCAAACAAACAAAAGAAACGTCAGTACAAGAAACGATCGGCAAGGGGATAGATCGATCGATTCAAGTAGAATTAAACGAAGAGAAAAAGGAAAAGCGGGGTGAATAGAGCGAGAGGTGATACCATCGTCAGGGAGAGTGTCACGCATCCACTCCTCGTCCACAATATCGATGAGAATGCCCATGCTAAGCTGCTGCTCTGCCATCTCCTTGGTCTTCTTCCACTCTCCGCCGCCGCCCTCCTTTCTTCCGCCTTCTATTTAGAACAGTTCGAGTTCAGGGGATACCAGCGGATCGGGTTTTTTGGGATTGACGAGTCTACCCGATCCGACTCCTTTAAAACGGACCTTTGCTATATCCCATCCGATACGGGTAGGAATTATTTAGACATTTATATTATTCGACCGGTTTAAGATAAATTGGAAAGTTAAATATGAAAATGAGTGACTTTTCAAGGATATGTATTATATAATTTTATATTTTTTATTAAAATAAAAATTATCTAATAATCGATGCAAAATGGAGTTTGATAGGCTACATTTGGTATCTTATTATATTAATTAATGCATGCACGGGCTAATTACAAATTACTTCCACACCTTTTTATTATTTTGATGCTAAAATTTAAAAAAATTATATTAGAATCTTTATAATTATAAAAATAAAATATCTAATTCCATTTACCCTAACGTCATTAGTTTTACCGATGGAAACACAAAAACGATAAGCAAAAAGATAATTTCAATATCAAAATTATGTTTTTAGTGGTGATGAAGAATGATATCGCTAGAGCCGCGGGTGACTATTGTGGATGAGGAGGAAGAGCGATAACACTAGATGAGGCAAAGGGAAAGGAGAAAAAGGACGATACAAATGTCAACACTTTTGCATCTACATCGACGTTGATGCAAATGTAAAGCAACGCTATTTTGCATGCATTACATTCGCGTCGTCCTCTTCCTCTTCTCTTTTTGTTTCATCTTTTACCATCACAACCCCCAACGATGTCGTTGTTTGTCATCATAAAATATATAACTAAATTATTAAAATTATATTTTTATCCATTATTTCGTGCTTCTACGATAAAATCAATGACATTAAAATAAATAAAATTATATATTTTATTTTTATAATTATAAAAAATTTAATATAATTTTTTAAATATATAGACCGTAATGGTAAAGAGATCTAAATACAAAAAATAATTAATAATTAACCATACACTAATATATACTGAATGAGATGTTCGTTGCATTTTGACATCAATATGACTAGAAGGATAAGCCATTAAGTAAATGCATTTGGTGACCAAAATTCATACACAAAGCTTGAATTTTTCTCGTGCAATCAAGTTGACCACATCACAAGATACACAAACTAACATAGTTTGGAAATATATGTACATATACATATAAAGACATGCATGATCTGATTTGAGATAGTTTCTACCAATACAGACACATGCATACCTTCCCCTTTGGGGCTGCCCCTTTCGACAGCTACCACGCTTCCACGATAGTAGAGATGGCATGATGCTTCTCCTGTCTCTCTCACGTACTGTGTGAGAGATGCTCTCTGTGCAGGTGGTGGAGGAGGGCTTACTGGTGGCCGACGTCAAGATCTGGCTGCGGCGCAACACTGTACTTGATCCGATCTCGATCCCTTCTCAGCTCTCTCTGTAGAGATATGCTCTAAGAATGTTAAAGTACAAGTTCTCAAAACACATGGCAAGTCAGGCACTGTTCTTGTATACATTATGGCTTCAAGAGGAGTCCTCAGAGTGGCCTCCTCTGTGGATGATGGCGATTCCTAGGATGGGATCATGATATTGAAGACATGGATAAGGAGTTCTCGTGTATGTCACCTACACCTACAACAGGAACAATACACCTTTTGCAGATATAGAACTGGATTTGCTGCCAAATCTTGTTATCAATAGTTAGAAGTCTTACTGGCTAAACCAGCAAACATCTTATCACAATCTATATTAACATTGTCTTGACAGCACCTGACTTGAATCGTATTCTATGATGCAAACTTACTTTATTTGCAGCACGTTGTTCTCCAACCCAGTGATGTTGGTGAGCTGTGAAATCCGTGTTCCGCCATGTTTCACTGCAAGTTGGTACAGATAAATCTAGTTAGAACTAGAAGTTGGGCTGATGAGAATGATGGCGACTGTGATTCTCGAAAGCTTTGTTGTATATGTTGAACGGATACACCTGAAGGGTTCCATGTGTTGAAGGAATGATTGACTGCCCTCAACTGATCCAGCAGCACAACAAGCTCTGCAT